GGCTTTGTAAAAGTTGATATACTGACCAGAACTTTTTAAATCCAGCCTAGCAGAAGAGAACAAACATGTATATCGTTGTCCATTTTTAAAAACGAATTACGATCGTTAAATAGTCTCTAGTTGATAGTGTTTTATGATATAAAGGGCAATAAATAAGTCTAAGACTTAGGTCATTATCAAATTGCCCAGTAAGTGTTTTTTTTAATTTTTTTTTATCTTCTAATTGCTTTTTCTACATGAATCCCAATCATGTTTCATCTGTGTTCAATATTTTACTCCCAAAAATGTTAAACAACTAGATAATCATAGAAGGGGTTTTTTGTGGAGATTTAGTATTTATCATAGTTGAAAGCGTGAGTCAATTGAAGCTAGAGCACCATGGAAAACCTGGACGGCCGTTTCGTCCTATTATGGGACTCCTCAGCAGTGCGCATCCACGAACCCTCTCTAGTGAGAAGCAGTGACCAGTGGAGTTCAAAACCACGTCTGTTGTGAGATAGGAACTCACTGAGGACAATTGGTGAATGGTTGCTCAACTTCGTGGATCAGTTGAAGTTAGACCTTAACATCATTGGATGCCAGCTCAGTGGTCTATCGGTTAAGGGTTTCGGTTCGAGACTGGTAGGTCCTGGGTTCGAGTCTCGCGAGAGCGGGTTCGTGGATGCGCACTGCTGAGGAGTTCCATAATAGGACGAAACGACCGTCCAGTGTTTCCAGGTTTTCTATGGTGGTCCAGCTTCAATTGACTCACGCTTTCAACTAGATAACTACCGACTGCTTAATCATAATATCGTTTGATGACAACTCATTTAAGTGTTTAGGTTAAGAAATTAGTATTGACGGTATATATCGATCAATTATATCGTAAAACTAGTCATGATCTATCGATCAATATTTCTTTTACTATTGAAAAGCGTCAAATATAACGCTCATAACTAACCATAAAAACTTTTTCTTTACTGGAGTTTTCAGATTAGAAACCTTTTGATTCGGGGCCGTTCACTCATTCATTAATGAAATTACCAATCGATTACAAATCATTGGGCTGGGCATTAAACAACACTCACTAGGATAAAAACTTAGTAGTAGCACTACGCTACTGGAATAAATATTGCAAAGTGCTGATTTTGACCTTGCAACATGCCGGTTGAATCTAAACCGTTCAAACCATAGATTGATCAAGTTATAAGCAATCAATACTATAACTCCATTCAAAACGATTTACATTGTTGATTACAAGTCACATAACGGCAACAATTACTTTAGTTCAAAAACGCCTAATATGTATAGATTAGATAATTAGGCTAATTAACTGCTTGAAAAAATGATTGCGAAAATTTAAGTAATTATTAATATATTGATGGTATAATTGTTCATGAATACTGTTATTATGTTCCCTGAAATCTAGTCTACTTCCGGAAAATTTAATAATTTATTTTCACAAAAATTTATTTATTGCGGTATCTTAGTAACTTTTCCTGAAAATTGAAATCCGTATTCCTAATTATTTCGAATTTGTATTTCTGTTTGATCCTATAGTTTACCATGGTTTTTAAAAACATTGTTCATAAGAGAATTTATGGTCACTTAAATTTAACGCAACTACATACCGATTAGTGAAAACTATTCGTTCAAAATATAAAAACCTTGCAACGAATAGTCCTTGATATTAGTCCATCAGTTAACCCATAGTAGTCTGAGTGTCTGTTTTCATTTGAAATGCTTGAATAATTTACTTATCAATATCAAACCAGTGTTAAGTTTTGCAATAAAAGGCCTCAATAAGATGACATAAAGGCTTTGATTTAACTCCGCCTGTAGCTCCTCTGGGGGTTACTGCCGGTCCCAAGCCCGGGTAAAGGAGCAGGGTTGGGCATGGGGTTAGCGACCCCGTCCAGTAGAAAATCAACTCGCTAGAAAAACGCTAACCAGAAAAAATCATTTAAACCATTTAAAATCTGCCCTGCGAGTAGAAGGAATAATTATGACGTCTCATGATAAAAGCCGAGTTCCTTCGGAAGTCATGAGGCCGATGCACCTTCTTACAACCAGAGCGACAATTTTTACAGGTAAATGGAATGTCCGAACAATGTGGGAGACCGGAAGAGTTTTCCAAATGCTGCAGAAATGAGAAAATACAACCTGGAGGTGCTCGGAATCAGTGAGACGCATTGGACGCAGGTTGGACAACAACGACTGTCTTCAGGAGAACTTCTGTTATACTCCGGTCATGAAGAAGAAAATGCCCCACATACACAAGGAGTTGCATTGATGCTGTCCAGAAAAGCACAAAATGCACTTATTGGATGGGAATCTCATGGACCAAGGATCATCAAAGCCTCCTTCAGAACAAAGAGAGAGGGCATTACAATGAACGTCATCCAATGCTATGCGCCTACCAACGACTACGATGAAGACGCTAAAGACCAATTCTACGACAGGTTGCTGTCGATCTTCGAGAACTGCTCAACCAAGGACCTGAGCATTCTGATGGGAGACTTCAATGCTAAGGTTGGAAAGGACAACACTGAATACGAAGACGTCATGGGACAGCATGGACTGGGAGAAAGGAACGAAAATGGTGAGAGATTTGCAAACCTATGTGCCTTCAATAAACTGGTCATGGGTGGCACCATATTCCCACACAAAAACATACACAAAGGCACTTGGATTTCACCGGATCACACTACACATAATCAAATCGACCATATCTGCATCAACAAAAATTTCAGGAGGACAATGGAGGATGTGACAACCAGGAGAGGAGCTGATATAGCATCCGATCATCATTTGCTGGTCGCCAAGGTGAAACTAAAACTCTAGAAGCACTGGACAACGGCGCGGACAACATCACAAAAATTCAACACGGCCTGCAAGAGAGGGAAACATGAGACAATTGTATGATACAACAAAGAAACTTGCTGGAAATTACCGTAAACCAGAAAGACCAGTGCAAAGCAAGGAAGGCTAAGTAATCACCGACATTGAAGAACAACGAAACAGGTGGGCAGAACATTTCAAAGAACTCTTAAATCGACCAGCTCCACTGAACCCACTCAACATTGAAGCAGCACCCACAGACCTCCCAATCGATGTTGGCCCACCAACAATTGAAGAGATCAGCATGGCCATTAGACAAGTCAAGAGTGGCAAAGCAGCGGGACCAGACAACATCCCGGCAGAGGCACTGAAAGCAAATGTAACAGCAACTGCCAAGATACTGCACATCCTCTTCAGTAAGATTTGGACGAAGAACAAGTACCAACAGACCGGAAAAAAAGACTTCTCATCAAGATACCAAAGAAAGGCGATCTTAGTAAGTGCGACAACTACAGGGGCATCACTCTCCTCTCAATACTAGGAAAAGTCTTCAACAGAGTATTGATAAACAGGATGAAGGATTCCGTGGACGCACAACTTCGAGATCAACAAGCTGGATTTCGTAAGGATAGATCGTGCACAGATCAAATCGCAACTCTACTGATCATTGTGGAACAATCAATCGAATGGAACTCATCACTCTACATCAACTTCATCGACTACGAGAAGGCATTTGATAGCGTGGACAGGACGACACTATGGAGGCTTCTTCGACACTACGGCGTGCCTGAGAAGACAGTCAATATCATACGGAACTCCTATGATGGACTAAACTGCCACATCGTCCACGGAGGACAACTCACCGATTCATTCGAGGTAAAGACCGGTGTTAGGCAAGGTTGCTTACGCTCACCCTTTCTCTTTCTCCTGTTCATCGACTGGATCATGAAGACGTCAACGACTGGAGGAAATCACGGGATACAGTGGACAGGCAGGATGCAACTTGACGATCTAGACTTCGCGGATGATCTGGCTCTTCTATCACAAACGCAACAACAAATGCAGGAGAAAACGACCAGTGTAGCAGCAGCCTCAGCAGCAGTAGGTCTCAATATAAACAAAGGGAAAAGCAAGACTCTCCGATATAATGCAATATGCACCTATCAAATTACACTTGATGGAGAAGCTTTGGAGGATGTGGAAACCTTTACATATTTGGGTAGCATCATTGATGAACATGGTGGATCAGATGCAGATGTGAGGGCAAGGATTGGCAAAGCAAGAGCAGCATACTTACAACTGAAGAACATCTGGAGCTCAAAACAATTGTCAAACAACACCAAGGTTAGAATTTTCAATTCAAATATCAAGACAGTTCTACTGTATGGGGCGGAGACGTGGAGAACTACGAAAGCCATTATCCAGAAGATACAATTGCTTATTAACAGCTATCTATGCAAGATACTTCGGATCAGATGGCCAGATACTATCAGCAACAAGTTACTGTGGGAGACAACAAACCAGATTCCAGCAGAGGAAGAAATCAGGAAGAAGCGCTGGAAGTAGATTGGGCACACCTTGAGGAAATCAGCTAATTGCGTCACAAGACAAGCCCTCACATGGAATCCTGAAGGTCAAAGGAAAAGAGGAAGACCAAAGAACACATTACGCCGAGAAATAGAGACAGACATGAGAAGAATGAACAAGAATTGGATAGAGCTAGGAAGGAAGTGATAGGACAGAGTGGGTTGGAGAAAGCTAATATCACACACACATACATCCCATAAACAATGTTGAGGATTTAAATCAGCAATGCCCGTTTCATCTGAGATGTCAACTGTCTGAACGAATAATATAAAGATATATTTGCCTGACACGATACAAGACACTGTACTTATTTCAGTGGATTAAATTTACTTTTTATTCATTTATTGAACCCTCAGTTCGGTGAATTGTTGGGCCGGAAAGAAGAAGACGATACTTACGCCGCCGCAAATTTTAAATATATGTGCTTTTTTAAGAGTTCCATTTGTTATTCAGTTTAGGAAACAGGAAAGATATCGAGACTTTTATTGTACATAATTTGTGCTTAGTTAAACGTTGTAAGTTAGCCAGTCAGTCACAACAACGTTGTAAGTAATCTGGAAGACTTGTTTCATAGATATATTTTGCAGACTTACCATATGCAGTACCAGCTCCGACACCAACAGCTGCGTTGAGTAGTGTATCTCCAAGATGTTCGGCGGGTAACTTTGCAGGAACCTTCAGCCAATAACTTTTGTTATCTGTGACAATACTTTCTACTTTGCAAGCTAAATAAAATAACGAAGTATAGATTCAATGATCACATTTACGCTTTGACAACATATGTTAAATAATGCAGTGTTCAGGAGTGTGGACTCACATATCAGACAATGCATACGTTAGTAGTACAAAAGTCGTTAATACTACTAATTAGAAACATTAACCTTCATTGGTGAGGTGGCTCGAACCTTGGGATAGGCATCAAACATTATTATAAATGCTATCATTTAACATAATGCTTTATTATTAGTCGTTAGTGAAACACCAAAATTTTCACTGTTGATTATTTTCTGGGAGGAACACCGTAAAAAGAATGTCGTTTTTCTACACAAATATATCTGTTAACACATCAAAACATCGCGGTCATAAGTCGGTTGTGGTGTTAACAGCTTTTTCAGTTGTGAATGAACCAAGACTACGAGGTTCCACCGATACCAAACGAAATATATTCTAAATGTGACTGTTTGGTGGTTCTCAGGGACTTATATATTGTAAAATGACCTTGGAAAATATCAACTGCGGTCAGCTCGATAACCAAATAAGTAAATAATATAACACCAGGTTTGTAACTTGAAAATTTGATACCCATAAAATGGATATGGACAACATACATACAAAACATCAAAAAATAAAAGTCTTAATATTCCCGCAGAGTCAAAATTATCCTTAAGTGCTTGTAGACTGAAAATTCTTTTTCTCAGAATGAGTGACATCTTTAGATCTCAGAAATCACAGCGGACTATAAATGTGTAAATAGAATACGAAACAAAGCACCTCACAAAAAATGACAGACAGCATACACTTATCTTTAGTTAACTGAAAAATCACTTCATAAGAATAAAATGAGTTTTTAAAGTGAACTGACCGACATCATCGAACTTTTTTACTATGGATAAAGAATCATTAGGTTGTCGATAAGGCACAATTTACAGACACACGGATTGATCCACTGCTCAATAGCCTCCATAATCTGTTTGGATGCTTCATGTGTGGATTCTGCTTGCCTTAATAGTGAGACAAATTCCTCATCCAATTCTGTCTTTTCAGCTCTTCCTATGACTTCATTTGTTTTCTTCAAAAAAAGTAATTAATTTCCGAAATCAAAACATACCTGCAAAGCCCTATTAAGCTTTGTATTAGTATTATCCAAAAATTTCTTCATTCCTGCAAGAACACGTTACACTTTTGAAAGATAGACTAAAATCTTTAAACGTTTATTGAACAATCTAAACAAAATAACTTTAACCATCAATATCAATTAAAGGCATAAAAATATGTTTTCTTTCAGATTTTTGACGATTTGATAGCTAATCTTATCCTGATTTGAGACATTCTACAGAATACATTTACTTCATCGTAAAAGAGTTTCAGTTCACAAAAGACGTTAATCATGAAGTCATATGTAGGTTCTAGCAATGAAGACCACGCATACGTTTAAGCGTCTATGAAACGGGCCGTGACCTATGTAGGTCAATGGTCTGATCCGAAATTTGTTTATCAGAAGTTCTGTAATAAATTTCCTGTTCTGCAACCACAGGAAAATCAAAACTTACCAGCTTTCGTTGTTCATTTTGAAGACTGATTCTCTTTCGCCCAAGTATAGAAGAATTTGAATATGTAGTCATTTCTTACACAACATTACTACTGAGTCAGTTTATTTGACATCTTTTAACGTGCAGTGGTAAATAAATTCCAGAAATCAATAACTCTGTAAGTCCTCGACATTTGATGCTAACCACATTGGTTTTATTGAACTCACCTAGCGAAAGGAGCTCGATCGGGCATCCCCAACAGATTACGAGCGGGTACGCCGTGCTTCACATCTCCTAGAAACGCTAGCCAGCTTATATTGATCACTCCTCGATATATTGATGACCTGTCAAGTTCGTCTTCTAACCTCTTCGCTTCTGGCTTCTGATTTTATTGGGTTGGCACGTTTTGATTGTAGAAGGTGTTACTGGTTAAGGTGTTGTCAAACTCCGAATAATTGTGGTATTTTTAAACAGTTATTTAGCGACAATAAATCCACCAAAAATAGTTCTGTAAGACTCTAACGACTATGCTAACCTCATTAGTTCAACTGAACATTCTGTAGCCCATCCTGACTTCTACATCAGCTAGCTTTTGGACACAAAATTAACAAGGTATTACGTACAACCACGTTCTTCGGCATTATTTGTCTGTGGTATCCCTTGATTTTGTACAGATCATGATTTTCTGCATATCATGACTAGTTTGTTGTACATACACAAGTGGTAACGGAAAAAATACCATGTCCAGTATTGTAGTGCAATGCTTCGCTAATCTTTCACCTCGATAACCGTTATAATAAGAATCTTAACGGTGCATAAAATCAGAATGCAAAGAGAAGCTGCAACTACAGTTTATTACCAAATGATGCAGGCCAGCACATGAGCGAATAACAGCGAGCAAGCTAAAATAACGCACATCGGAGGTGGTAGGTGAGTCAAATCACTTTAACCAAGCGTTAATCAATATATATAGTCAGATAAAAATAAATTACAGACATGTGATGAATAAGATAAAAAGTGTACACACACATATGCTCATATAAAAAAAAATCAGGGTTAATAAGTGAATAATTAACAAGGTCAAAACGTGGCTCATGATGGATAGGTAAATTGGCTTGTACAGAAGCTAGAATGAAGGTATATGGGCTTAAAATATCAACAGACACTACAGTATCACATAATTCACATCCGTCTAGGTAGCTAGAAGCTCAGTGTATATGGAAAATGGTTGTGAATCCCCTAGCAAATATTAGGTAACTGATGGTCACTCTTGGATCAATGTACATTGGACAACACATAACTAGGTGTTATTCCCAGCGAATTTGGCCATATCTTTGTGTCAAATGTGCATGAAAGCTCAACCATACTGACTTTGTGAGGCACCACACCGACTCCTCCGGGTGGCCCATAACAAAATCAGTAATGACAACAGACCGTAGCTTATAAGACGATATGGTGAGTTTGCAGTGGTAATGGTTCTCATACTCGAGATCATTGAAGCCGAACATACGATAAATGATATTTATGTTTAACGTTTAACAATTTGATGTCTGAAATGGTGAGTGTGGGAATAATTCATAAGTGCTGCAAACATCGACCATACAGATGTGGCTAATTTATGTAACCTTCAACCTGGATATGTTGTTCAGAAGTTCTAAACAGTGTCTACTACTCATTTAACCTGGAGTGAAGTAGAATCGATTGCTTTGTAAATGAAGGTAGATCGATCTAATTAGGATGTTCGATAACCTTGATAACTGTTGTGTTTGTAATTTAAAAAGAAAGAACTCGGCTTTCTGGTTAGCTTTTTTTTAGCGAGTTGATTTTCTACTGGACGGGGTCGCTAACCCCATGCCCAACCCTCCTCCTTCATCCGGGCTTGGGACCGGCAGTAACCTCCAGATGAGCTACAGGCAGAGTTTATTTAAAAGAAAAAAAGAAGGCCCCAATAAAATTAGTCAAAGGATTCCAGTAATGTCATGCTTCTTACGAGTGTAGAAGATGTTTAATACTAGTTCCAAAGCCACATTTCTTTCCGAAATTTGATGGCTTAAATAGGTACTTGCCATAATTTCTGACATAAAAGGGATAGTAACTTCACATAAATTGTTTGATCTGATCAACATTGTCTCTGGATAAATTTGTTTTGCTGAACACATCATTAAATGAAGTCACCCGATCAAGCGTCATCACCTGATTCCGTTTCAATAATCACCGGAATGAATGTCCTCTTTGACTTTATAGTCGTAAGACACATTTGTCAGTACAATCTAAGTATCTCCTCCAACCTACCATTTAGCCTCCTGATTCACAATTGTTAGGTGTTTTGTGTGGATTTTAGTAAATTTATAGTTGAATCCATGAGTCAATTGAAGCAAGACCACAATAGAAAACCTGAAAGTACTGGAAGGCCATATCACCCCATTGTTACACTTTTATTTTTCTTATTACAAGTAGACAGATAACTCACTAATCTTATGGATGCTGACCAACTAAGGCCGATCAATAGAAGCTCAAATGTCCTAAATTCTTGTGAATTGTTCAATGTTTTATTTTCCTTACCCTGAAAATTTTACAATATTCTCTTTCATATCCTCTGGTTTGCTATTAGTCCTTACCATCTCATAACCACATATAATCTTACTTGTCTCTTATAACCTCCGCCATTAGTTATCTTCATAGTAGTACGATATATTAAATGGATATCTAACCCATAATACAAATGCTATTACCATCTGATTCGCTTGTAACATGGAACTTGTAGAGACAGTGTATTCCAACTATGGTCCTTGATTAAAGCAATATTCATACTGACCACAAACGTAAGAGAGCCTAACATCATAAAAGGAGGGAGGGTGGCGTTACTGACCAGCAAACATGATGGTGGGGAGATAACTTCAATCCACCCGTGTCTGTAGGGAAGAACATATTAATTACGGCTCCTTATGTGTAGTGGAATGTCACGAACCAACGGTATTGATGCGAAATTATTCATGAAAAATACCACTTTAGATCATGTTAAAAAAAGCTAAATTGGTTCCACTTCCTACCGAGTAATCCTATTACAATCAAACTAGAAAATTGGCTAAAAACGAAGCCCACTCTATACCCTATAAAATCTAAAAACAAAAAAGAGAGTTCAAACAGCTTCAAAAAAAAGGGAGACAGTCATTTGTATCGGGATACTGTTTTCAGCACTTTATTTTATAATTACACAATTCCATACTTTCTTCTAAACTACCTTCATTATTCAGTTCCTTGTCCACACTTATTTTTCTTTAACACATTAGTATGTTCTTACCTAATAAATACTTCAGTAACAGATAAATAGACTAAGTGGTTATACATTAACTATTCCTCCATGAATATTGTGTGCTCTGCTTTTCGTCCTTCCTTTTTCTTACACCTTTTTCAGCCTCCTGCAAATACTCCACCGAAAACAGATATGGCACGGGTGACTTCGTCCTACACCGTTATTAAAGCTTCAGATATTCCGGAGGGATATAAGTTCGAAACTTCTAAAAGTCCCCAACTTCGCATGTATCTATTCTCGACCATCAGTTGTATGTTGCAACGCTACCTCCATAAAGTGCGCCAAGTGTGATATTGATATGTTTCTTACGAAATCCATTTACACTCATATCTTATGAAATATCAACCCAGTTGAGTAATTTTCAACAGTGAAAATTGTAACTTCTTTAACAATTTGATCTTGCCTGTAAACCGGCATGCCTAATGTAACAATCTGTTATTTGAGAATAAATTATTATTATTATTATTACACTCCTCAGCAGTGTACGTCCACGATCCCGCCTCACGAGATTCAAACCCAGAACCTATCAGGTTAGGCTCTCGTGCGCGGGACTGATAGGTCCTGTGCTCGAATCTCGTGAGGCGGGATCGTGGATGCACAGAGCTGGGGAGTAAAACAATAGGACTATACAGCCTTTCAGTGCCTCCAGGTTTTCTATGGTGGTCTAGCTTCAAGTGACACATGAATTTTATTATAAAATTCACAATTTTGTTGGAAATATATATGAGACTAGGACACTAGAGAGTTGATAATCTTTGCGACCGATATTCGGCAATTGCGCTTGTTAACATGAAGTTAAGTTATGAAAGTTAGTTCTGTGTACCCATAGTTAAAAAAGGATCTGTTGTAGTGCTTTTATGTCGCCTGATATCATAACACGGCTTTTAGGTTGGAATAAAAATGGCGTTCAAAAGCTCTAAAATGAAATTCGCTATTTTAGTTGATTCCCTTTTAAATTATTTCGGTGGTGAAACACATTCGATTACTTCTTAAGGTTGTAGACAACTGACCTAGGTTATCTATGTTGAATGATTAGAGGCCAACTCGAGTTGGACGGGAGCGAAGTCACACCTCGCTGCCACCATCTAACGTGGATTGCCCCTCCTACATATTAAGATACTATCTCTTCTTCGAAGACCGTATAACACAAAGGACGCTATTATGGAAATATATTAGTAAGAATGAGTAGAGAGAAGATAGCTAGACCATCTCCGCATGCTCCAGTCCATGGCATATGATTAACTGGCGCGCTTTGGTTGTCTTTGATTTTGGCGGGGATCGATGATCTGTTCGATATTCAGAGACCAAACCGCCGGA